CAGTACAGAACAGTTGGGTCAGGCCTGGGTTCCACACCTGTGCTATTTACCCTTCTCACCCTCCCAGGTGTGGATGTGGAGGCAGCCAAGCGGGCTGAGGAGGAGCTGCTGCTTCATGACACCAGGTGCTGGCTGAATGGGGGTGCCATGCCGGAGGCCCGGCATCCGCGCACTGGAGCCTCGGCCCTGCACGTGGCTGCTGCCAAGGGCTACATTGAGGTGATGAGGTAAGCCCGGTGGGCTGAGAGCCACCCTCAGCTCCCCGTACTGTGCTGTGTGCCAGCCACCTCCTTCTCGGATGCTGTAGACCTCCCTGTGGATTGCGTCCATTCCTCACGCTATCTAATAGACACTTGAAAGGCTACGTGTTTCCCTCTGAGTACAGCCGTAGATGCACCCACCAGTTTTGATGTGCTCTGCGTTGTCACTCAGTGTAAAACTTTCTGTCGTGATCTTCCTTTTTTTGACGTATGGGCTGTTTGGAAGGGTGTTCTTAACGTCCAAACCTGTGAGAGTTCCTGTTCATCGTTTTATTACTGGTTTTCTGCCATTCTTGAGGTTTAATTATAGTCAGAGAACAGGTTGTAGGTGATCTTAGCATTTTGAAATGTGTGGAGGTTTACCTTTTACCACAGTGTATGAAAACTGGCAAAGATGTGTTGTCAAGTACAGTGTTCTATGTAGGTTATTAGGTCATCTTTGTAATCGTGCTATTTAAATCCCAACATCATTAAATTAAACCCCCCAGTTGCTCTGCCAGTTATTATGGGAGGTGTATGAAGATTTCCCACAATGGCTGTGCATCTGCCCACTTCTACTGGTCCTATCCATAATTCCTCCTGTGGAGCAGATGTGGGGCTGGTCACCACCAGGTCAGCCCAAACGCACCATTCCCTCTGCAGAAGAAAGGAGCCTGTCTGCTCTCAGAAAGGTTCCAAGTGTCAGAAACCCTCGTCAGGGGTTGCTGTGAGTTGGAACTGGTTTGGTAGATATGTCAGCCTAGATTATTTGGTGCGTGTATGTGCAAAGTTGTTATGCTGCATGGTCTCGGGGGCTCATTGTTCCCACGTCTGCCTCTTTTGCCACTTTGCCTCTGAGTAGTTGGTTCCTTGGGCTGACCCCGGCTGGCCGAGGCTCCTGCTTTTAGTTCCTGGATCTCAGTGGGGCAGGGGCACCTTGCTGAGCAACTCAGAGGTGTTTCAGTGGTCTGTAACCGCTGGCCCCACAGGTCAACACTTGGGTATTCTACTCACCGCCCACCACCCACCTGCAGCCCACACCCCTAACCTCAGTGCCCTGGCTCCCGCCAGGTTGCTCCTTCAGGCTGGCTACGACACAGAGCTCCGGGACGGCGACGGCTGGACGCCCCTGCACGCTGCTGCCCACTGGGGCGTGGAGGATGCCTGCCGCCTGCTGGCCGAGCATGGCGGGGGCATGGACTCACTGACTCACGCGGTAAGGGCCAGCCAGCCAGCCCTGGAGAGCTGGGGGGAGAGGTGGGGGGAG